TTTTTTTTTTTTTTTTAACACTCTCAGGCTCACTGTGGTGTTTTATTACTGAAGGCAGCAGAGAAAGGGAAGCCATTATTTTCTTAATAAAGCACAAATCTAGCGATGATTTTGCATAAAGGTTCTTTGATACTATTATTTCTAGGTTAAATTCATTCATCTCTCCAACATCATTCACACACATACGCTCTGAAGGCATGGACAAAATGCTATGGGTAGATGGTCATGAGACTAAAATATGAAATACTAGCTATTTTCCCTTACTAAAGGATAATCCACTTTTAAAGAGACATTGGGAATAGATTTATCAATTTTCAGGGAGGCCCAAGGCTCCAGGAAAACACTTAAGAATGATCTCTTTGTAAGTATTTTTCCCCCCAACTAAGGGAGCAAGGAAGTGAATGGGAAGAAAAGTAGGTGGTTTTGGTAGAAAACATGTGGCTTACTGTCTCCAAAATAAAAATGGCAGAACTTCTTACCAAGAAAGTAACATTTATATAGTCTCAATGACCATCTTACTCACACATTCATTTAACAAATAATTTATTCAGTGTATCGTGGAGTTTTGAGAATAATTAAATTTCCCTAGAGGATCACAGAAACAAATGGAGAATATACAGTGGAAGATAATTAAAGAGTAACATATAAGCACGTGCTCCCAAACCACTGTGTAAACCAAGTTTCTGAAGTATCATCTTTTCTAATTTTTATTGAACTAGATGAAGGTTTATAGAACAACTAGCTTATTTTAACAGCCAGTACACATATTGTTTTATGGCATTGGTTACAACCCCATGACATGTCAGTACTTTCCCTTCTCAACCTCGGGTTCCCTATTACTAGCTTTCCTGTCGCGTCCTGCCTTCCAGTCTTTGCTCCCGGGCTGGTATGCCCTTTTATTCTCATTTTGTCCTATGGGTCTGTCTGATTTTCAGCTAAAGTACCACCATCTTTGATGTCTATGTTTACTTGCTGCTACATTTACTCCTAGCATATTTAACTGGGAATGATTTGGGTTTACCAAAATGTTCCTAACCAGAGAAGCAATATTCTTGTAGATAATTAACCTAAATCATGCATGTGAGGGGGAAGAAGAAAGATCAAGGATTCTGACATGATTTCATATTGCATGGAGAAAATGATTTATGTTGAATATCAGAATGACAAATATACAAGATCCTTAAATGAAGAACTGTGGCTGACCTAGGGCTCCCCTCCTCTTGGAGCTACTGACTATATCAAAGATGTTCGTTTTGGAAGAGGAATGAGTACCTGTGCTATCTTTTCAATCTCTCTAGAAATTCTATGCAATGAGTAAGTCCAGTCCTTCTCTCTTCCACCCTTATTCAGTTTCAGGGGACACAGAGTAGGTAGATTTGGGAACCAAGTTGGAGAGGAGACAATAATAATGTTTTCATCATACTCATGTGTGAAATGACATCACCCTAAGATTCTACAATCAGTTATGAGAACAGAAATGAACTCTGCATGAAGCATTTAAAGGAAAAAATATTGAATCAAAAATAAACAATGAGAGACTATAAAAATAGCTAGGCAGATTTTAAAAAGAACTCCTGAAACCAACCCCCGAATCTTTCATGAAATAAAAAATATAACTGTTAACCTTGAAAACTCAACATACGAACTGAGTAGATACAGCTGAAGAAAACACTGGTGAACTGAAAAATAAGATCTAAAGCAATCTCCTTGAAGAAAGCACAAGGAGATAAGGGAATTGATAATGTGAAAGAGAGTTAAAAGGTATGGAGGATAGACTGAGATGGTTTAATGTACATCTAATTAAAGACCAAAAAGGAAAGAACAAAAATAATAGAGAAGAGACACTACTCAACAAGATGATGGCTGAGAATTTTCCAGCACTCATGGACTATATGAATCCACAGATATAAGAAGCATACAGATACCGAAGAGTATAAAAAAATAGATGCATTGTAGGAAAATGGAAAAATAAGACTATTTTCCATAAACAAATGTTGAGAAAGTTTATCACTAGTACACCTTCATTAAAGGAACTTCCAGAAGATATAATTTAGGAAGAAGGAAAATAACTCCAGAAGAGATGTCTGAGATGCTAAAGGGACAGGTGAATCAAAAAGTTGAAAGGTTTCTTAGCTTACGATTTAGTTTTTTTTTTCTTTTTGAAAAAAAGAAGTTGGGGCCTAAGGAAGAGTGATGTTGTTGCGTACTATAATTTTCTGTGGAGAAAACCACCCTTGGATAATATAAACCGTTTAAAATACTGGATAAATACTTTGGAGGGCAATATTCCAGAGAAATGAAAACTTACTGCATTTTTATTGCTTTTCAGCATTTCTGATTTGGGTCTGAGGTAATAAGCTGCTGGCACCGAGTTCTCATCTCGACAGTACCACTCTTCCAGTAACTTGGTCTCCAGCTTTGCCTCTATTGCAGC